TTGCAGACCTCTTCACTAAGACAATGTCAAAGGCTGCTCTTAATCATTTTCGAACCAAACTCTGCCTTCTAGCTCGGCATAGTTTGCGGGAGGGTATTGGCAGAACCCCAACTGTGGCAACAACTGTGCCAACAGTTCGTGATTTGGAGGACTCTTGGATTGATAAGGTGTCTCACAATATCAGGAGAGATAAGGATGAAGAGTCCTACAAATCATGTAAATCTTGACCGAGAAATCCCAAGTGATTTGGAGTCCTGTAGCAACGAGTTCAACCCCAACATGGTAGTTCAATAAGATAGAGTTTATCTAGGATTTGGAGTAATCTTATGTAATTTACGATACAAACTCTTCTCCTTTAAATAGAGATGTATCGTCTCATTCTCAATAATACAAAAAAGAAACACAATCTTGTGCTCACGTTTAATTCAATAAAATAGTTTCTCTCCTCTTTTTTATCTCGAAATTCAAAACGAAACCATGTTTTCTCATACTATGAGTAATAAGCAACTGCCGCAACTTTGCATCCTTTTAACTATCTTTCTCCAAGCAACGGCATCGGAGAAACGTAACTGTGTCTTTTCGTCAGAAATCACGGTTCACGTCGTCAGTAACCTACCGCAAAATACCCCACAAGTATTTTTACGTTGTCAATCGCACGACGACGATCTAGGAAACCACACACTCGCACCAAATCAGGATTTTCATTGGGACTTTTGCTCTAATATCAACACTTTACTCTTCTGCCATCTCGTGTGGAACGGGAAAAGTGCATCGTTCGATGTTTTTAATTATAATTGGCCCGACTCGCGGTGTCCTTACGGGACATGCAATTGGGCCGCGTTGCCCGATGGTATTTACCAAGGATTTCAATGTCCTCCAACTCCGAGTACATTGATTAAACAATATAGCTGGTAATATATATGGCAAGTACTTGATGTAATGGCCTATATATATATAGGAGTTCATGTGATTTTCTCAATAAGATGGTGGAAATAAGGACCATTATACTTTCTGAGATTGTAATTTTGAAATTCAATAAATATAAATTAAGGTCTTTCATATATATATTTTTTTAATTTCTTTTTCCTTTTTGTTGTGGTTCCATGTATTTGTTTGTTTCTTCTGTTTGTAGCTCGTTTAAATGGGAACACACATATTTTTGCATGTATAGTTTTTTTTGAACCTTCTATGTTTAAATGTTGAATATACATATAGTTCTTTTGCAGGGAAAAATACAGTTTTCGTCCCTCAAGTTTGCACTGATTTCAAATTTGGTCCTCATGTTCACAAAAAACACACTTGGTCCCTTATTTTCCAAAAATTCAACACTTAGTCATTTCTGTCAATTTTCCGTTAAAACTAACGGAATCAAGCGTGTTCCCAAAAGTGTTAAGTATTGGAACATGAGGGACCAAATGTGTTTTTTGTGAACATGAGGGACCAAATGTGAAACCGATGTAAACTTGAGGGGTGATCTGTAATTTACCCTTTTTGCATGTAATGTTTAACAAAAATAGAAAAAAATTTACTTTATTTTTAAAACTATATTTAAGTGAGAATTAAACTTGGAAGGGTCACATAGCATTTTTCATAAAAAATTCCAACTCTTTTAAAATGAAAAATTTATTCCACATGTTTTAAGAAATTTCATTTAAAATTTGGACTCAAACTTTTATAATTTTTGATTATGATCAAACCTTAATTTATACTTTTTCTTTCTTATTAATTTTTTTTTAAAGAGATTTAAATTTTACTTTAACAAAATTGATTTTGTTTTCAGACAATACTAATTTTAATTGACCCCTCTAATTTTCACACCTAGCCAAGAAAAACAAAATTTTCTTTTATTGTTAGCATAAAGAGCAAATATATATTTTCACGAACAAAAAGAAAAGGTAATGGAAAAACTCTATGGAGGGGTAGGCTTGTCAATATATTATAGTTTAGACCAAAATTTTACACACATGGTTTCGTTGCCAAAAGTCATAGTTCAGGTCCTTCGAGAGGTGGGCTTACAATTAAAAATAAGGTTTGTACAGTTTGCATAACTATGACCACCGTTACATTTAGCCCTAAATTATGAAATGCGATAAAATGGCCCATGTTATTAGCATTTGTTAGTTTTTCCGTCTAACATGGATTATGTGGCACTTTGAACAAATTTTTTGACATTTTTGTGACAATTTTACCCTTCCATTAGAATATAAGAAAAAAACCAAGTAAATGAAATAAGTTCCGTTATTTCATAAAAATAGCAAAATAATTAAAAAAATAGAAGTACCTTATTAGAAATTTCAATAAAATATAAAATACATAAAAAAATGATTTTTTGTTTAATTCTTGATCTGGAAATTTAAGATCATTTATTACATCGTCATAATATATTTCTTTCCTTTTCCCCAAAACTAATATTTTTCAATAATGCAAAAAATCCATAATATATTATTTTATCTTTAAACTTTCTTGAAAATAAGAAGAAGAAAGGAAAAATGGGATATAATTTCTCACTAATGTTTTGAAATAATGGCCGGAAAATGTCTTTTTCTATATTATAAAGCAAGGGTAAAAAGGTAATTCTTCTGCACAAACTAACGGTGTCAAAATTATGATCGTCGACCTGTATGAGGGGCCATTTTATCGCGTTTCTTAGTTCTGGGGGTAAATGTGACAGTGGTCATAGTATTGAAGTGCAAACTGTATTTAACCCTACAAATAATAACGGTTTTTTTTAAATATATTATGTTTTACCTCCTAAGTAATTAGAATGATCACAATTACCCATTAAGGGCAAAAAGAACGTTTTGAGAGGAATATTCCATAGAATCAAAAACATTCCGTCAACAGTAACACCGTGGAGAGATTGTGTGAGACGGCAACATACCTCAGGGGGATTTTCGTCATTACACAAGCGTGAGGGGGATTTTTGTAATTAGACCTTACCTCAAGGAGTTTTTCGTAATTTGCCGTTTAAACTATATCTTCATAATATAATTATTAAAAGTAGTATATATATATATATATATATATATATATATATATATATATATATATATATATATATATATATATATATATATATATATATATATATATATATATATATATATATATATATATATATATATATATATATATATATATATATATATATATATATATATATATATATATATATATATATATATTATAAAAATCAACTTATAGCTAACAAATACATATCAAAATACACAATTATATGCAATATGTTACGACATGTTACGTACTATATGTTACTAGTCATGTATAGTGTTTGATGTAGTAATGTATATAGTCCGTAGTCGACTATAACCAATAAATACAGATCGGAAAACACAAATGCGCGCGCATATGTTACTACGTGTTACTATACAATTTTTTGGCTACTTTAAGGAGAAGATCAATAGCTTTCATTCAGCTGCAATTGCAAAATCAAAATAAAATAAAAATTATCTAGTCATGTTATTTGAGGAAAAAATACTAGCTAGTAACATTAAATGCAATGTTGTGTTATTCCTGTTAAATTTTAGTGTAAATTCAGAAAAAAATGACAAAACATAAACAGTAAAAAATCAACAAAAACTAAGATAGAGATAGAGAGAAAGGCTTGCTGCGAATACTTCGAATTTTAGACAAAACCGTAATCACCCCAAGGTTCCGCGCACGCAAATAAAAAATCACATAAATATATCTAATGAAAAGAAAAATGGAACAAGTTACCATCAACAGATAGATCTCGGTGAGAGGAATCCAACGGTGGGTAGCCCGTTAAGTTCTGATTTACGAAAAACAAATTACACTTCCGGAAAGACCTGTTGACGTCGTTGAATTACGCACGCACTGTAAAACAACTGCAAAAACAGATCCAGAGATTCAAACCACATGAAATCACCACCAAAATAAAGAGCTCGACGAGAGGAATCTAACGGTAGTTGAACCATCAAATTCCAAACCACCAGAGAGAACATTATGACTCCGGAAAGCACCATCGTCAGTTGGAGATCTATGGGTCGGACATTTGGATTTGAGAGTGGAAGAGAAAGGGATAGACAAATGTGAGTTTGCTAGGGTTTAAAACTGATTTTATATGGACAGTTTAGGTACTTCAAGTAGCTCAGAGGGTATGTCAAATTTCGAAAAAAAGTGAGGGGGTATGCACAATTTTGTAATCTCCATGGTATTTAGTTCAAAATAAATCTCATTTGAGGGGGTCCATCAAATAATCTCTAAATATAAATACATCAAAGAAAAGGCAAAAGAAAAAAAAGTTACAACCCAATGCGATCTGAGAAGTCATCCCTTTTACTTCTTTTTTAATATTAGTGTAATTGTCAATACATTATTTTATTTGTCAAAAGTAATACCATAGGAGCCTGTGTAAGATGGCAACATATGTACCTCGGGTGGGTTTTCGTAATTAGGAAAATATGAAGGGGATTTGCGTAGTTAAACCTTACCTGAGGGGATCTCTCTATTTCAATACGATCATTGTTTATGAAAATTGTAATCTAGTTTTTTACACTTTAGGATTGTGTATGAAAAATAAGGTTACAACACTTATTCTGGTTGGAATTATTTGATCGATTTAAAAGAGTGAATGATTTTTTTACCTCCATTTACTCTATTAGATTTCCATGATTGTTGGAATTTTTTGTATAGTTCAGTGACTGGAAGTTCAGTTTAAACTTTGAACAATGAGGTGAAAAGCTCAAATGCGGAAGAATGTAGCTTTTTGTTCGGTGGAAGCAGGGGATAGTGTGAGGAGAAAGAAAGTGCGGTGATTTAACAATTTTGCCCTTGTAACACTTTTGCCAAAAATGGCCAATTTTGTGATCGGTGGTCCAAATAATAGAGCTTGGGGGGCACCGTGCAACTTCTTTTAGTCTAGCAGGTAATGTGAAAAACAGGTAATTGTTGGAATTTTTTGTATAGTTCGGTGACTGGAAGGTCAGTTTAAACTTTGTACAATGAGGTGAAAAGCTCAAATGCGGAAGAATGTAGCTTTTTGTTCGGTGGAAGCAGGGGATAGTGTGAGGAGAAAGAAAGTGCGGTGATTTAACAATTTTGCCCTTGTAACACTTTTGCCAAAAATGGCCAATTTTGTGATCGGTGGTCCAAATAATAGAGTTTGGGGGGCACCGTGCAACTTCTTTTAGTCTAGCAGGTAATGTGAAAAATAGGTCAAAGTTCGGAGGGCAAAAAGCCATTAACCCTTTTCATAATTAGGCTTTACCTCATGAAGTTTTTCATAAATTGCCAAATAAAAATAGTGGACCAAAAATTTACAATTTACAAATTTTAGGTGAATTCGTTGAAATATTTAAAGGAAGAAAAGGTGAAAAATGTTAGGATTTGAAAAAGAAATCAGTTATTTAGAAAGTCGGTTTCAAACCAGGGACCTATAAACTAATGAGGCATATATTTACTACCTCAACTAGTAGCCTTTTGTGTCAACTTGTGTATAACAGTACATTTTGTATACTGAAATGCTAATTGTAGCGGGACTTTTACTGAAATTGGCTTATTTGCAGCGGTACTTTTCATTTCAACTTTTTCCAACTTTCTAACAATTGTGTTGCTATTTGCAGCTGGACTTTTATTGAAATTGGCTTATTTGCAGCGGAACCTTTTTCATTTTTTTTTTCAATTTATCTCTCCTATTCCCAAACTCTCTCTAGAAATTTGAATTTCGTAAATTTTTTCGACTTTGAAACCGTAGCAAGCGAGGCTCGATTCCGGTAAATTTTCAATATCCTACTACTTTTAATTAGTTGTATTTCCAATTTTGGTAAAAACACATGTTAAGGATTAGATCTAGCAAAATTTCGAAAAAAAATAAAAATTTGAAGCTCCCGTTTTCTGGAGCACGAAAACTCGAAGAAAATTCAAGTTTCCGTGCTACGGAGGATTCAAGCCATTTGAATCTCCCGTTATGCAGAGCACGAAAACTTGAATTTTCTTCGAGTTTCAGTGCTCTAGAAAACGGGGGTTTCAAATTTCCGTGCTCCATAAAACGGGATCTTCAAACAGTTTTTTGAATTTTTATTTTCGGAAAAAAAAAAAAGAAAAAAAAATAGATATGAATTCCCCGTCCCGTAGAACACGGGAACTTAAAGATTATTCAAGTTCCCGTGTTCTGCAGAACGGAAGATTCAAAATTATTGAAGCTCCCGTTCAGAACACGTGAACTTGAGACAATTCACCCGGACCTACTAGAGGTAAGTAGGTCGTACTTCCGCCAACGAATTGTGAGCACTTTCCACTATATTAATAGCCATTAAAATAACAACTAATAATTATTAGTTTTTATTTTAATGGCTATTAACAGGGTGGAAAGTGCTCAAAATTCGTCGAAGGGTTGGAAAGTGCTGTGGTCTTATACGCCGTTGGCGGAAGTACGACCTATTAACCTCTAGTAGGTCCGGGTGAATTGTCTCAAGTTCCTGTGTTCAGCAGAACAGGAGCTTCAATAACTTGAGTTTTCTTCGAGTTTCCGTGCTTTCAAAACGGGGGCTTCAAATTTATATTTGTTTTTCAAAATTTTGCTAGATCTAATCCTAAACATGTGTTTTTTTTTACCTAAATTGGAAATCAAACTAATTAAAAGTAGTAGGATATTGAAAATTTACTGGAATCGAGCCTTGTTTGCTACGGTTTCAAATTCGAAAAAATTTACGAAATTCAAATTTCTAGAGAGAGTTTGGGAATAAGGGAGAGAAATTGAAAAAAAAAATTAAATGAAAAAGGTTCCGCTGCAAATAAGCCAATTTCAGTAAAAAGTCCCGCTGCAAATAGCAACACAAAAGAAAGAAAAAAAGAAAATTGGAATTTCTTCCTCCGTCAAACTCACGCCAACCCCAAATTCATATTCTTCACCCATCTTGTTTTCCGACATTGCCATCTTCTACTCCGAGGTTGCCCAGTGACTGCCGCCGCCGCCGTCGCGAGTTCAGATCTTCTCCAAAGTCGCCGCCAATTCAAGGTCCCGCGAGCTCCCCTTCTTCTCCGACGAATAGCAAAGCCCGCCGCAAAATCCTCTCAAAATCGTTCTGCAGCCGCCGCTGAGTGAGAGTTGAGTGGGTGAGGCGTGTCTATGTGAGCTGTGAGCTGGGAAATTAAAATTGAAGCGTGTGTTGCTGTATTTTTTTTCAATTGGAGAAGGGGCTAAATTGAAAGTCTTAGGGACTGAATTGAAAATTTTATTTAAGTCATAAAATTCTAGTGGTTGGACATATTTATCTGGAGGGTATTTTTGTCTTTTCGCGAGTGGTCAACGGACGAAAATAAAAAAGGGTCGAGTGTGCTTGATTGAACACTTGTTAGGGGGGTTTTGATGATTTATTTTTTCCCAGAGGGTTTTTTGGCCTTTAGGAATTACACATGGGGGTTTTGCATTTAACTCTAAAATCAAGGGTGTGCAACTGCACACCCTAGAACATAGCCAGATCCGCCGCTATATATGTTTCATAGACGTATCAGTCCCTAAAGCAAAGTTTCACATGCAGTTCAGTCCCTAGAGGTAGGTGAAAATTCTAAAATAACCTTTACTTTAATCTGAAATTACATATTTTTTTATTTTCTCTCTTCCTTTTCTCTTTCTTCTCTCTTTTCTCTTTCCTCTTTTTCTATGTCTCTTCTCTCTCATTTTCTTGCCCGTTCCAATTCAATGTATGTTATTTTTCTTCAAACAACAAACGAAAATGAACACGAAAAGGCGCAAGAAAACAAACTCCTAAATCAATACAAATGAAGCAACAAGAACAAATAAAACGAAGAACCAAAGTACTAGAAGAAGAAAAAACAAAAAGAAAAGAGGAAAGAGACCCATTTTCAAAGAATGGTGAAGGGGAAGTGATAAGATTTGATTTGTTTCCCATAATCCTTCAATCGGTTCCAATATCTGTTATTTTGTGGTTCGAGTTTGCAAAGATAATTTATTTATTGTCGATTTTGAACACTTCCTCCCCTGGATATTATTCTTCAGCGACATTAGCATGTTACCCAAGCATTTTTAGTTCTAGCAAGGATTTGATGTATGATGTTTGATGACTTTGATAGGAAATGGGAAAAAAGTTTATTGTATTATTCTTGGTGATGTTGTAGTATATGCCATATGCAATAATTAGGCTGGGACTGGGTTGGATCGGTCGATTACCAGCCTAAAAACCGACCCATCTTATTTCATGTAATAAGTCATAAAATGAAGGAATGCCTCATAAAATGAGTTTATATTGTTGCGTTAGTCCCAAAATAATATCTATAAAGCAAGCGTACCATATAAACGGAGAACATCTACTTTTTCATTGAAGAAGCGTTCTCTATGAATGGACAACACGTGCATTACCGATGAAATACATTCATTTTTATGTAGAATAAATTGTACCATAATTATAATGAATTGAATTGTACCAATTTCATAATAAATTTAGTGATTAAATTTAGTGATTAGTGAGTGTGGGATGGACATATATAAAATATTTTTTAAATGACTATTTTAAGATTGATGAACAATGGTGTTGCGTTTAGAGTTCAAAATGCCACAAAATGCCGACATGATACTCACTTAGACAACACATACTTCACCATTGAACCAAATATACTTGATTCTAGACGTAAACGTACTATGTGAACGCATTTATTGTATAATATGACTAGCAATACTAGTACTTTGCATCTCTTATTTCAACACTATCCAACCACACTAGCAATACTATTGTTTAATACGACATATACTACTGCAGTCACATAAAACACAAATTTTTTCAAAAAAATAATACGAGAAGTGTCTTTCTCAGATCATATATCAAACCATCAAACATCTTCAAAAAAAGAGGCTAGAAAAAAAAATCAAATTTTGTTTCTTCCCCTTCACAATTGTTCGAAAATGGGTCTCTTTCCTCTTTTCATTTTGTTTTGTTCACGAGTTTTTTTCTTGCGCCTTTTCGTTTGTTGTATGAAGAAAAATAACTGTAAAGTGAGTTTTGAATAGGAACGAGCAAGAAAAGAAAAGAGAAAAGAGAAAAGAGAAAAAAGAAAGGAGGAAAGAGGAGAAAATAAAGATTAAAGAAAGAGAGAAAAAAATTAAATGAAGAAAGAGACAGAGAAAAAAAAATATAAAAATGCAAACATAGGGACTGAACTGCATGTGAATTCTGCAGTATGGACTGATCCGCTCTTTAAGTTTATATATATATATATATATATATATATATATATATATGGACGTGGGTGTGCCGTGTGCGTTAAGGTAAGTCCACCAAGTCTACTCATGGACATTAAGCATTTTTGGAATTTTAGTAATTTCCCAAAATGCCAAAATTGAAAAGTCGGACCATCCTCTGGGTAGAAAACAAAACACCAAGTCTACTCATGGACATTAAGCATTTTTCTTTGTTTTCTTTTTTGTTTTTCATTTTAATTTTTACTAGTACGGGGTGTTCATCGTAAAAATAAATAGTTGATTTTAAAAAAAAAGTCATTGAAATAGTAAGATCAATGATATGCAATACAAAGTAATAGAAAAGTAAAAGAAAATAAAAAAATATATTTTGTACGGTGTAAGTAATGAATAACAGTAGCGATACCAATATCAATATAAATATAAATACAATTACCGTTACCATTACCATTACCATTACCAACAAATACCAATACAATTATCATTAACATTACCATTACCATTACCAATTAGGGTTGTTCATGGGTCGGTTTTACCCGACAATCGACCCATTATCTGCCCGACTATTCTGGCCGATAATTGCCCACCAACCGACCCGTTTTGGTCGGGCCGATAATTTTAACCGACCCATGCATGGTTGGGTCGGGTATAGTTTCTAATTTGTTGAAAAGTCGGTTGGCCGATATTACCCGACCAACCGACTTTTTTTTTTTTTTTTTCTTTTTTAATTTTCTCTTTATGTTTTTACCGACTATTAGTTTCAATATTTAATTTTTGACCTTTCGGTGAAATGAATAAAAATACACAACTAAAAAAACTATACTCTTCATTTTCTCAAATTAAAATTAAAAGTTTCAGAATTTTGTGTTGTGAAAGTGTGAATGGCTAAAGTGATTCGTTTTAGTTTTTATATTGTTTTTGAAAATTTAATTTGTAACATGTGATATCGTTGAAATTGATTTTGGGCATGAAATATTGGAATGTTTGTTGCTGAATTTTGATAGAGGAATAGCATAATTTTTTTTCATTTTTTATTTTTTATTTTAATTAATGTGGCCGATATTGGCCGATAATTTCAACCGACCTGTTTTGGCAACCGACAAAGTCGGTTGCCAACCATTACCCGACTCACAATAGTCGGGCCGATAATGGTTTTACATATTTGTAAGAGTCGGTTGGTCGGGTCGGGCCGATAATCGGCCGATAATCAACCGACCCGACCCATGAACAACCCTATTACCAATACAATTTGCATTACCATAACCTTGACCATTACCATTACAGTTACCGTCACCAATACCAATACTATTACCATTGACATTATCATTATCAATACCAATACCAATACTAATACCAATGATTATCAATACTATTACTATTAGTGTTAGTAATCCTAATGTTATTGCTAATCCTAATCCTGGTATTAACTCTAATCTTAATTCTAATACTAATATCAATCATAGTTCTAATCCAAATTGTAATCATAATGATAATGTTAGTCTTAATCTTAATACTAATTCTAATCATAATCTTAATCCTAATAATAATACGAATCATAATTGTAATCCTTATAAAAATGCAAATATGCTAATTCTAACAGTAATCTTAATACCAATCGTTATATGTTAATGCTAATGGTAATGCAAATCCTAATTCTAAATATAATTTTAATCATAATGTTGATCTTAATACTAATTCTAACCATAATGTTAATCCTAATATTAATATTCATACTAATATCAATTCTAATATGCTAATGCTAATACTAATGCTAATCCTAATATACTAATGCTATTATTAATACTATTACTAATATTAATTAGCTAATGCTAATATTAATATACAAATACTAATGCTAATACTAATACCAATACTAATATTAATACTAATACTAATACTAATATACTAATATTAATACTAATATACTAATTAATACTAATATACTAATACTAATACTAATATTAATATACTAATACAAATGCATACCAATATCAATATCAATACCAATACCAATACCAATATCAATACAATTACCAACTCCAATACTATTACCAATACCAATACCAATATCAGTACAAATACTATATCAATACCAATACATATACTAATATCAATATCATTATCAATACCATTACCATTACCATTACCATTGCCATTACCATGACCATAACCATTACCATGACAATTATCTTTATCATTACCATTACCATCACCAAT